TCGGTATTAAAATGTACGTATTTTGGGAAAGTGGGGGTCGTTGGTTCAGATTTACCCTTTTTAAGTGATGATTTAACCACTTCACCATTAGGTAAATAAGGAATTTCAGATGAAATTGGAGTAAGTAAGTCGACTTTGAGAGATGGGAGAATTGGTTTTTTTGTATATGATTCAGGTGCTGATTTCCTTCTTGGGGACGATGATATTTGAGGAGAGGTTGATAATATGTCTTTAACTTGTTGAATGGTACTATCACGATCTAATTCATCTGATTTATTTTCAGAAATAAATTTTGGTTCGGATTTCTTTTCATTCATTGCCTTATTCGTTGTGTTATTCGTAGTCGGATTCGTTGAGGAGGTAGAGATAGACTGACTTGCGAACGAATGATTAATGACGTTCGTATTTAAATCATCTTGTTTCTTTTTTGATATTCCAAAGGTTATTTTTGCCAAGGGCCACCCACGATAATTTTGGTAGTCAACGTAGTCAACGGGAGCAGTGCCTTGATTCTGTTTATTGAGCGACTTGGGTGGTACGAAAGGCATGGTGGATAAAGATAATATTGATATTATTTATCGATGATCTAAAGAGAATGAAAAAAGATAGAATGCAATTTATTGGCGTCAAATTATATATTCTGTAATAAATGTGTCTATACGATTATCGTAAAGAAAGAAAAACATAAGGGATGTTTTTAATATATGAATGTGGATGCTAATTAAACATAAAAATAAACGCGCTTTGAAAGTATAAGATCCGCACTAGGAATTTATAAATAATAAAAAAGAGAACGATTTTACGTTCATAAAAAAATATTTTTAATATATAAGCAAGTGAATACTCATTTAAAATGAGTTTCACTATATTATAAAAATAATATAATTATTTTTTAAAGAAAATAATGAAAAAATTTAAGGGATTCTTTTTATTTTTTTATTTTATGTATAAAATTATAGGGAATTATTTTTTATACCCCCAAAATTATTATTCGTAACCCCTGCAAAAGTTTAACTTTGAAAGAAGATATCTCAGCGACCACCGAGTAAATTCGATGGATTATTTTTTATTTGAATTCCATGAATTCATAGAATTTGAACAAAAAAAAGCGCATCGAATTTAACTTGGTAGTTGCTAAGATAACTTCGCTAAGTTTAAAAAAAATCAAAATAGCTACCGCTATATTAAATATTTTTTTAATTTTGAGCGAAGATAACTTAGCAACTACCGGGTAAATTTGATAATCTTTTTTTGTTTGAATTCTATAAATTCATAGAATTCAAATAAAAAAGTTCATCGAATTTGACCTGGTGGTTGCTGAGATATCTTCACTCGAAGGTTTAAAAAAGGTCAAAACATCTATCAAAACAATTAACCATAGCTGCCGCAACAATTTGGACCGGCAGATTCTCGATTTTGATTGGCTAAGAGCGATGATTAAAAAATTAGGCCGGAATTACTCATAATTTTACTAATGAAATCATAGCCGCCCATTAAGTGAAAATTGTTCCTGGGTCAATTTTACCATAATGCGGCTTATTTTTTAAGAATTTCCATTTCTGGGGTCCTTAAAGCGGGCAGATCACGTGATATACCGTTTTCATTAATTTTAGGGTTAGCGCCCACCTTTGGTTAGGGTTAGTGTTAGGGTAGTTTCTATAGGTAAAATTACCTCCCCGACATTGCTGCAAGGTGGGTTTAGACTACAGTTTCTTATATTTTTCGCATATTTCTCTTTTTTTCGCTTGTTTTGCTTCGTCGGGCTGATCTGGGATCATCAAATTTTAACAATTTGATTGGTTAATTATAACGTAATCTGCAAAAAATCAAAATGTTAATTCCGGCCGGAATTTAGTAAACAATTTTGTAATGTGGGCCAAAATTTTGAAGATCCTCGACCGTTAGCCAATAAAATCGAGAATCTGCCGGTACAAAAAATGCGCGGCAGATCCTCGATTTTAAAAAAACTAAAAAGTTAATTTCGGCCGGAATTTTGTAAACAATTTTGTAATGCGGACCAAAATTTCCACGCAAAACAAAAGCTGCGCCAAAATTTTCCTCAAACTTTGAACAAAGATATCTCAGCAACCACGAAGTTAAATACAGTAAACTCTTTTTTATTTGAATTCTATGTATTCATAGTATTTAAATATAAAAAAAAAACATCGGATTAGAGTTTGTAGTAACTGAGATATCTTAGTTCAAAGTTTGAAGAAAATTTTGGCGCAACTTTTGTTTAGATAGATGTTTTGACCTTTTTTTTAAATCTTTGAGCAAAGATATCTCGGCAACCACCAGGTTAAATTCGATGAACTTTTTTTTATTTAAATTCTATGAATTTATAGAATTCAAACAAAAAAACGTTCATTGAATTTGACCTGGTAGTTGCCAAGATATCTTTGCTCAAAGTTTGGAAAAAATTTTGGTACACCTTGTTTTGATAGATATTTTGAACTATTTTAAACTTTGAGCGAAGATATCACAGCAACCGCAAGGTCAAAAACGATGTACTTTTTTTGTTTGAATTCTATGAATTGATAGAAATCAAACAAAAAATGTTCATCGAATTTAACCTGGTAGTTGCTAAGATATCTTCGCTCAAAGTTAAAAAAAAAAAAAATTTAAAATAGCTATTTTGAATTTTTTTTTTTTAAACTTTGAGCGAAGTCATCTTAGCAACTACCAAGTCAAATTCGGCGAACTTTTTTTTGTTCGAATTCTATGAATTCATAGAATTCAAAAAAAAAAAAATTCCATCGAATTTAATTTGGTGGTTGCGGAGGGTATGAATAATAAATTTGGGGGTATAAAAAATAATTCCCAAATTATGTGTAAAAAAATTTTTTTTTGAGAAAAGTCGATGAAAAGTAATGATGGCAAATATTAAAAGAAAATTGTATTTATTATCTAGCTCTGAAGAGCTTTTTTTTTTTTTTGATTGTATTGGAAAAGAGATGTGAATATTTTACCTTAGAGAATTCGTCTAGTGACTGAAGGGCAGAGAAAAAAAAAAAAAAGAAACGACTAAAAATCTGAGGTTTTTATACACTTGATTAAGATATTGACAAATATAAATAAATATTAATTTATACAGTATTTACTATATCCATTATCGTATCTTCAATATATTTTTATATACATATACACAAAAAAAATTTTTTTTATATATGTTATTTATCGCCTAATATGTGAGGTTTTATCATAGATATCGCGTCCTGAAATGGAAAAAAGCTTTTTGGATTGCTTGATACATACACATTCAAATTTTAAAATTGCTATTAATAATCACATACACCATTGATATCATTATACCATGTAGATTATTCAACAAATTTGTATATATTAACTTTAATAATAAATAATATACCGTATTTATCCGACATGTAGACCCCGTGCAATGTACCCTGTAACGATTTTGACGGCCAATTTTTGATTTACCTAAGCATGATATTATCATGCTTCTGTACCCGGGGAAACATAATATATACATACAATATATCCCCTTATATATGTGCCCAGGGTACGAACTAGGGAAATACCCGGGTACATATGTCGGGCAAATACGGTATGTCGCGGATGATCGCGAAATCGGATGATCGTGAAATTTGGGGGCCTTGATTTAAAAATATAAACCCTACTAAACCCACCTATATCTTTTATTTATTATAAACTCTAACCCTAAGCCCTAGTCCAAATCTAAAAAATCATCCGATTTCATATCATACGATTTCACGATTATCCTTAAATATACAAAAAAAACTTACCTGTTTAGCGATTCGATTTTTACTTTTGTCCAATAAAGAGAAATCATTTCTCATGGATAAGGCGTTTTTGGTGGCGGTGTTACCGCAGGAAGATTACTAATAATATTATTTGTGTATATTTATTTTATGATCAGTAGCTTTATTGCTCAAAGAACCAAGTTTACTAAAATGCACCTATGGTGTTCAACAACATAGGTCCCTATTTCTCAAAAACGTACTAAGTAAACGGGATCGGTACTCTAAGTAATGTTCAGGACCCCAGAAACCTCGCGAGAACTAAAATTGGGACCTTGTATCTAATATATATTATAATATATAAAAAAAAAATCATAAAAATGCACCCTAACTTTAAATTTATTAAAAACAATTATATATGGTGTTGAACGCCATAGGTGCATTTTATAATAATTGCAAAAAAACACTTATCGTTTATTATAAACATTAGTGAGTCGCTAACATTAATTACGCAGTTGTGCTTGTTTTAGAACCAGGTACTTGTGCGGCCAAGTTTCTTTAAACATTATCATTACGCAGGTTCCCACACACATCACTTATGTGACACTTTCTTTCGTGAAAAAGACAACATTAAATAGTAAATAGGATCTTCCGAACCGGAATCAAAATTTCCGAAGATTTTCATCTGTTTTAAATTCTAGGACAAATTAAAAATTTATCTGTTTCCTGAAATTTCTTAGGTCTAGTCTTAAGAATCACCTAACACTTAACTCTACAAAAATTATATCTTTATCTCCAGATTGTGCTTCTGAGGATAGTGATATAGTATCCGTGATTCTTAAAATGAAATTGAAGAGATTTCGGGAAATAGCGAACTTTTATTTTCCTAAAAATAAGAATGATTAAACATATTCGGTCAGCGTAAACGAACGAGGCAACAATGGCATATTATTCACCAAGAACCTGGAAATGTTTTGTTTCTTCTTACCGATAGACAAATAATATAGCAATTTTCAGAGGGCAATAATATAGAACGTAGAAATGAGATCACTCCATAAATTACAGAAATGAAGTCACCACTTTCAGATCGTCGAGAAATTTCTGGCTATAACCAGGGAACAGGAGAAACCGTCCAAATATAGATATGATTTTCATCAGGGTTTCCTTATGTCAAGAAAATCCCGGGCTGAAGATCACCGTAGATCCTTTCCGATCTAATTCCGAAGCCAAAACATTCAATTTCTTTAAACTTCTAGCGACGATTTCTCAGTAACCACTCGATCAAATTTGGTAAAATTTTTTATTTTGATTATATATATTTGTAAAATTAAAACAAAAAATAGTTCATTAAATTTGGTCAAGTAGGTGTCGAGAAACATTCGCTAGAAGTTTTGAAAAAGCTTGAAATATCTCAGAAAAAAATCTAAAATCGGCAAATTTTTTCTCTTTGAAAATTTAAACGATGGTTTCTAACACCCAGATATCCAAATTCCATGGAATTTTTTTATTTTGATTATACAAGTATCTAGGATTAAAATAAAAAAAAATTTACCGAATTTGAACAGACAGATGTTGAGAAGTATCGATTAAAAGCTGAAAAAAAATTTGACCGCAGCTTTCTTTATTACGATATCTAAACTTTGAACGAAGATAGCTCGGCTGTTACATAATCGAATTCGATCAAAATTTTTTTATTTTACTTCAGTGAGATTATAGAATTAAAATAAAAAAATTTTGATCGAATTTGATTATGTAATGGCCGCGTTATTTTCGTTCAAAGTTTAGATATCCGTAATAAAGAAAGCTGCGGCCAAATTTTTTTTAAACTT